TGGAAAACGTGGAATGTAGAGTGTGGAGTGCGGACAAACGACGAGTGGATAAAGGAAGTTAGGAATGCGAGAGGCGTGGAAAATAAATGTGTGGAGTTTGGGATGACAGAGAGCGAATTGACGAAGAGCGTGGACAATATGGAAAAGGGTATGTACAGGAGCGCATGAGCTACTGGTATATTCATATCTGCAGGGAGTAAAAAATGTGGAGTGAGGAAAGATAAGAGAGGAAAATGAGCCGTGTAGAGTATGAGAAGTTGAGGAAGTGTAAAGTAGAAAATGGGCCCTGCAGTGTGAAAAATTGAGATTGAATAAAATAGATTAAATTAAGAAATAAAAATTAAATTAAAAAATTAAGGGCCGAACAGAAGCCGGACTTTTTCTTGGAAAACTTAATGACGCTACCGCTACGGTGCTCCTTGACAGCGGAGCACTTTACTTCTTGTTCCAGACTACTATTTGTCATCACACGGCCAAAATCGGCCTGCATTCAAAGTGCACGTTCATCTTCAGACTTGTTGTGTCCTGCGTGATGACAATCACTTGCGCTAAATTTACTCGTTAATATTTATTTAGTTAATATAAGTAGGTTTAATTCAGCTTTGGAATTTTTCCATCTAGTAATAAGGGGAAATCGTTGGATGAGCTGATATAAGGTGATATTTCACCGTGATAATATTTGTTATTGCACAGCTATGCAAGCGAAGATCTGTCTCCACGACAACAAGACTGGCATGGCTTTCTTAGCCAGGGCAAGCAGTTATAACAGCCAGGTTAGGAACACTTCAAATTTATTTTCGACCCAATCGAGATCGCAACCGGTCATCGTCACTGTACGAGAGGGTAAAATGCGCGTTTTGTTGCTTTCGCTGTTCTTAATTTGCGGAGCTTTTCTTTCCCATGGAAGACGTGAGTGGATAGAATAGTTTTTAAAATTCCTATTTGAAGATATTTAACTAGCAGGAGTTTGTTAACGCAAGAAATGATGCTACCTGTTAGACTGGAGTCGCTTTTTAAGAAAGAAGCTGGAAATGGAAACATTAAGATTTGAAAAAGTTACATGTGTTATAATCAGGATAGGAAAAAAAAATTATATATTTTTTGCTGTTAGAGCGTTCGACTGCTGGTGAATTACAAATTGTAATATTCCTCACATCTTTTAACTTGTCTGGCGCGTCATAGAATAAACAAAGTCATCGGGCTAGATTGTAGGCTCTAGATAACTTTAATTCCTCGATTTAACGGTATTTCTAGTGCCAGGAAAGGCCTGTCTAAAACGGAGGTGTTATAACGAAATAAGGAAACCGGTTTAAAAATTATTTCTTTACTTTGGTTCTGTTATGTTGTTGTCAAATTTTAGTTCTGTCTCAAATCAGCCTCAATGATTTATGTTTGTAGATTCGTTTTACGACATTTTTCTTGAAAGTAAACTGTCCTAAGGTTTAACTGAGTTCGTTAAAATCTTTTTGATTCAGTGCTCAACCATCTTATTCACTGGATTATATTTTTCAGTTTACCGCTTGATAGTTAAAACCGCGCGCGCATCATTTGCCGGCAACTGATGCTGTAATCCGAATCCGAATTCAAGGCACCCGAGGCGACTTGAAAGAAAGAGTAATAAACGGGAGATTTGAACAAGATGGGTAATTATGATGAAAATGATTATAATGTCGATGATGATATTACCACAGATGATATCGATGATGATCACAACGATTATAATGACAATGATGATGGCGCTGTCCGTCGCGATTTAAGATGTTGGTGATGACCACGATCGATCATACACATGCTACAGAACAAGCTGTGCTTCCATAATCAAATAAACAAAAATTATTCTCGCATTTGACCCGAAGATGATCTTTCAGGAAAAAAATTATCCTCGCAAGGGGGCTGCATATAGGAAAACTTAGAAATGCACTTGTCACGAGTTTGCACCTTACTGCAGAATGCGTCAATCAATTTGAAGCTTCAAGATCCCCCTCTCGGGCATTTGAACTTCTGACGATTGATTTGTTCAACTTCCGCCCTCCTCCCAGGGTAAAAATTGTGTTCTAATGCCCCACCCAATTTTTAGTAAAAGGAAAAATCAGCGACCGGGACTTTCTACACATTAACTGAGCTCAAGAGATGATTGTGTTATGTAGCACTTTACCGCTTAATCGATAACCCGTGCGTTTATTTACCTGAATCAACCATCGCAATATACTCAGTTATTTCTCGCGCTTGAACATACTGTTATTTTAATTCATGTTTATAGAACTGACCTCATTGATATCTACGACTATGACATTGGATACATCAAGGGAGTGGATATTAAGCGGAATAATGCTGGGTTTTTGCCGGACTGGAAACTTGACAAGGTAAGTAGCAGTTAAGATTGTGGAGATATGGTT